ACGGCAAATTCTCCTGTATCATATGTGAAGTTCGTGGCCAGAAAACTCTTCCCAGATAATGCGGCATATACTGCTAATATAGCAAAAATCCGCGAATCATACAAGAATAAACAAGCTCTCCTAGATAAGCTTGAGGCCCTCTTCGAATTGTATTATAATGCGACTAAAGACTCATCAACCAGTCCCCCAAAGCGAGCTATTACTAAAAACGAGGCTGAGAAAACCTTAACAGAACTTCTTGCATAAGCGGCTCCTGTGGTCCTACGATCCTGTACGAATTTAGTCTATATTTTTTATCCATGTGTAATGGGCATACAGTAATTGAAGATAGCTAATGTATAAGTAACATAACATCATGTTGGACCGTTTACCAGTAGAAATAGTCGAACGTATTGTCACAAAGATCCCGGATACTGACCTTATTGCAGCGAGTAAGGTAGATAGAGTGTGGTGGCAGGAAGTTCGTCGAGAGGCATATAAGAGGTGGAAAAATTATGCCACTACGATCGGTTATGTGTACTGTGAAATCCGAGCTCTCTGAAAGCATTATATAAAGAGGTAAATTGACTGGATAACGTTTGAAGATGTAAACGACCTCTATAAAAGATGGATAAACCGCCTTACCGAGGATTAGCTTTATATTATGGAGAAAATGCTTAGGAATGGGATGGTCGTGGACCCCCAAGAGAGGGAAACTATAGAGCATGCATTAAGTGAACATAGATGGGGAGGCAATCCTTAGGGAGTGGTATGAATGGACTCAACAGGAGTAAGCATTTTGTACTTGACTTTCGTAGGAATTACCCTGCAGAGTCATATTTTTTAGATCCGGCTGGCGTTACCGCGTAATCCCGAATTACCTAAAAAGGAAATTTATGTTACACAAGTTTCCAAACGCATTTTTACCAAAATCGATTTTTGTGGAATGGTATTGCCCAAAAAGGAAATGATCTACATACCCGCAGTAGAGGGTGCGGAAAGTAGTGCTCCTAACAGATCGGTTCAGACCGGATTCAGCTTAAATCTGATCCGATCTGATTTTTATTTTAATAGATCTGATCTGATCCGAATCTGATCAGATCTGGTTCAATTTGATCCGAATCTGGTTCGGATCCATTTGAATCTGATTTGAATCTG